TATATTTCGCAACATACCCTGCCATTAAGAAGAAAAAGGCAGTAAATAAAAGGGTTAAGAGGTCATTAAGAGGTGCCTAAGGCAAGTGGTCTTGAAAGTCGTGTGCGGGTTCTTGACCTCTCGCCTTATATCCTACATCTCAATTTGTCCGAAAGTACCTTTGATCCTCCGTGCAGCTCAGGAAATTGTGCAATCATTCCTCACTGGTAAGAAGAGGATTGAATGAGTTCAAGTGCAGTATACGTGATCTCGTGCAAGGCATGCGGTTAAGAACACATTGGAAGACGGGTAGACCAATTTGTGTAAAAGAACATCTAGAAGGGAAAGATAAAATTCGACGAAGTACTCCTGCAAGTGCCCACAGAACACAAGGCCACAGCGGCGATAATTTTGAAGTTACTGCCCGGATTCTAGGGCAGGAATCAAAAACCTCAACGCACAACACTCTTGAGTTTCTTTTGATATCATTCAAAAATCTAGATATGAACACGGAAGAGGAATGCCTCACTATCACACGTTCTGACGTGGATCGGCCTCACCCGTCATCCCACATGAACAACACGCAGGAGGTCCCATAAGCAACAAAATGGGGAGTAGTTTAAAAAAGCGCTTCTTTATATTTTAGATCTTCGTTTCAACAATAGATATTTCACGGCACCATAGGACCACTGATACAATTAACACGTCCAGGGGTGAAGTCCCACAAACGTCTGCCATCAGGCAACAACAGCAACAACAACAACGACAACAACAACAACAACAACAACAACAGCAACAAACATATACTAACCTCTTATCAGCTTTATAAGGACAGTTCGTAAGAAGGTTTACATAGATATATACTAGATGTGCTATGTGCTAGCTAATGTGATACCGACTGCTGCAGGATGGATTTTTCACTAAAAAACAATTTATTATCCACTCCAATCATTATCGAGAGTAACCATCCTGAATGAAACAGCGGTGTCGGGTGACGTTGCTTCATTTTAGCAGTGCTTTACTGAACAAAATACGAGTCGATGCGACGACGAACACACCAAATCGACAGTAAGAAGGACTGTGGACCTTCGACTCGGATGATCGGCTTTGAGGAACAGGAAGGCGTCGAAAGGTTAGCGGAGTAAACCTTGTTTATTAACGTTGTCTTAGCTTAATATTCCAAGATGCTGAGTATGAGCTAAAAATGGTCAGCGCAGCACTTCTCATAATCCATTCGTATTCATTATCAGCTCGGAAATCCCACAGCGATTTTCTCTTACGTTTATCCTCTTTAAAGTCTTCACTAGTTTTTTTGCTCTATATTTGCTTTCCTGCTGTTCGAATAGGTTCGCATTCCTACGGCAAAGTAATCTTCCTTGAAATTGATAAAGAAGCCTGGGTAATGACTACTAAGCATAATTTTAAATACAACGATATTCCGATTTTTCACAGTGAATTTTCCAACAACGTTCCGATTTTGTGACGTTGTGAGAAAACCACTGTTATTCCTCAAAAATTCCAATGATTTTCTCAAAATGCCGGACTAATAATCGTCACAAACTGGCTTGAGTGTGCCAGTGCTCGCCAAACCGAGCAGAACCGCTCTCTTAATTTTGCCGAATCTCTTTAATAACCCTTTTGAACACAACGATTTCAATCCACCATCTCCATATGCAGTTTGCAACATTACTTCCTTCTAACAATTTTATGCGTCACATTTTGTGCTTTAAATTTCGTTATATCTCATATTTTTTATACTGTTATTTTGGACAGGTAGCACGGTGGAAGTGACGGCGACCATCACGAGCAGGCTGCTGGTTCGGTCCCACTCCAGGCCCACCAAAATTCCTATCGTTCCATGGTTGGAGAAATGGTACCGGACTTTTACTCGGAAAGCCCACTCTCTGCAATCCAGTTGTCCGCGCTCAAGCGCGGCTATGCCAGAAAACCGAGAGCAGTCGGCTCTACCAGCGTTAGCATTCAACGACATTCGGGATACCACAAACCTCAAGAGGCTGCGAAAACCAGGCCCGGAAAGCTCGAAGATCTATATGGACGATAGGTATGCGGAGACAAGTCGAATACAAAAACGCGGTGATCCGTGCAGTAGATGTGAAGGACGGGTCGTGTAAAAAAGAAAAATAGCTTCCCATTCAACGTAAAAGTGACTTCCAAAGTGTTATAGATAGACTCGCACAATTTCGTATATGATGTTATAATAAAATTATCATTAACAAAAATTTTATATCGTCATGAATACCGGAAGGATGTATTTCAGGCACCCACAACTGCAACAACTTTTGTTTCCTTCCATTTCTAAAAAACTCATGTTCGACTATTGATTCTCCCCACTGTGGCATAGTATGACTTCTAACTCTCAAATCTGGCTTTCTTTGGAATTTTATCAGATTGCTAATTATCACGAGATTCCTTGTAACCGTAAAAGAAAACCAATTTACAGCGTGCTTACCTCTGTAAGTCCTATGCAAATTAGAAAATATGAAAAAAAAACGAAAAAGTTAAAAAATAAAATACATTGTTTTGTAGAAAGAAAGTTACTATTTTGTAATAATTGAAGGTCTTCAATGACTTATGAGACACAGGGTAGGTCTCTAACAAGTTCAGTGGTATATTCATTAGAATGCTACCACTACCGTATATTTTGCAGTTTTTACATGGTTCACTACAGGTGCTCCAAATCGGCAGTCATCAACAAAACGTGGATCGACGGTTTTGTGGATGTCCGAAGCATTACAACTTTAAATATGCCAACGGAACAGCCATCTGAGCCGGCAACATTGCAACCCACATAGCTCTCATCATTCCGACTATTCGAATGCAGTCTGATAAAAATCTTGAACGGTTGCTACCTTGTGCTCTGAGAAGAATTCTGTCTCTTATTTCATGCATAGAATCGTCCCATAATTTCTTCCAATTTGTGAATGTGTTAATTCTCAAGTACATGTGATTTAAGCATCGCTTCAAAGAGATTAGTCTTCTGGTCAAGATAGTATAACACCATTGATCTCCATTGCATCAAAGGGAAAACTTTTTAGTAAAATGGTGAGTATTCGTTTATTGCTGTCACACCAATATTGCAATTTTCCCCAATTTCTTACTCGATGGAACATAACTCCTACTTTATTGCGTCTTCCGAAAAGAATTCAGATTTAAGGACAGGGTGAAAGTATGAGGACAGGCCTCGGAATAGAATACTGAACTTGAAACGAGCGATTCGAGAACACAACCCTCTTTGCGAGCCCGCGCTGATGATGTGGCGGTGGCCGATCGCTGATCAAAGTGCCTGGGGCCACAAGAAAATCATAAGTGCATTCATTGTCCAAAGGCGTTCTCAAAACACGCGTAGCGTTGAGAACTTTGTGCTGATCTTATTTCCACGTTCACCTGCTCTCTTTCAAAACTTTCATAACTAGCTGACCTCTTCAATTGGCTGGGCATCCATCAATGAACTTAATTTCTATTTGGGTCGTACTGTCTTCACAAGCAATCTTCCATCAACGATGGAAAGATGTGCGTTGGTGCTGAAACTGCTTTGCCAGCAGTAGTTGTTAACGGCAGTGATAATGGTGAGGCATCGTCCTACTTGTAACTTATCATTGTCGCCAAAAATAGCTACCTGTGCCTACTGATAGAGGAATTCCAAATTGTTTGCGTCACTTCAATTTTGTTCCTCACGAAAAAAATTCTTTTAAGTGCAGCAGAGACGTGAAGTCGATTTATAAACCTACGAATCTAAAGGTGTATTGTAGTATATTTGAGAAGTAATACTATTTGGAAAGCGACATTCACTAACCTCAGCAAAATAACTGATAATGTTTCGAGATTCTGCTCTTAAGAACACAAAGAGTTTGAAAAGCTAGTGAATAAGATTTGTTTAGCAGCTTCAGATAAGCTCATAACTAAAATAGAATATTTTCGATTGCAGTTCTCAGGATCGACTATAAACCTCGGCATTGGAGACTAAAACACCAGCGTGCCAAGTTCCTGAGGCTTTTTGGATAAATGACAAGAACTCTACAATGAATAGCAAGAAGGAATGTCCAGAGGTCACACGCCACCTGGCCCTGTGTCTTCCGATCAATTTCTGATGTGGGGTTATGCAGTCATCAACCATATGTGACTATAATCAGCTGTTCTAACCTTCTTCATAGGAAGTCACGAAAAAGCGGTGAGTGTTTCGAGATCATGTTATCATGTAATCATGTAATGTTGAACTTGTAATTGACATAGAGTTTTTTCGTCTTTTTGTAAGTCTTATTAAAGCGTTTGGCCTGATAAACTGTATATCAGCATACCATTCCAGTCTCCGAAAAAGGCGATACTGCCGAAACGTCGGCTACTGTTGTATTGTATTGTGTTTTTGCATGGAAGCAAATGTATACCGTATAGCATCCTCGCCATTGCTGAACAAGAAAACGACGCAATTATTGATTACTTATGCCGAGATCAAAAGAAAGCCCTTTTTAAAAAACACTAGATTCTCGCCGTTTTTTGATTCTTTTATTCTTCCTGCTTTAATCCACGCCTCGAAACAGGTCGCCATGCAAGTACAGTTGAGCATCAGTGAGCCCTATCGAAAGCCGAGTCATGTGTGTTAGTGCTGGGGAATTTCGAATCCACACAAGTGAGAGAGGGAATATGAACTACCGAACTACGTAAGCGGCTAAAGAATGGAGACGGCATTCTGCATCATAATATTTCGAAAACCAGGAGAACCGGGCACGTGATCTATTTGAACGACAACTGATGGACAACAGGTGTTAGCGATCTGATTCCTTGGGAAGGCCAACTCTGAACAGGAAGGCCACCGACTCGTTGGTAGCAGTTTTTGGCGGAGGTCCTAGGAAAACGATGTGATGCTCAGTGAGCTCATAGAGCGAACAGAATCAATTGGGCTACTCTCGCACACGTCCGCGACAAATAGAGCCATTCAAATAGGGACGCGCTGGGGTAACTAGAGGAAAATTAGTGCAGCTGAACACAATGTGATCGTGAGTGAATCAGAAATTGCAAAGTGATATTTTTGAAAGACTTGAAAGGTTGGGCTCTACATTTCCTAGATTTAATTTCTTACATGTTTTTTGACAATCTTAGTGGTGATATTTGACAATGTTTCATAACTATCGGATTACAGTATTTTGACAAACAGCTTGTTTCAGTTTAAACAACAGGTACCTCGATGTGGTATTGAAGTCACAGTAAGTGGAAGCTTCCCAGTCAAAAAAGCCACCACTTAAATTCCTTTTCCGTCTCACGTTTATGCAATAGATCATTTCACTATTCCTTTCATCGGAAGTGTGCGTTGCCTACGTTTCTTATTCCTGTTGTAACCTGTAGCTAGTCCTATTTCACTACAATGCATGAACCGTCGTTAGCTCTACCAAATTTCATACAAAGAAGGCCATCTCTTTTTTGACTTATACATAATAAAACACAGTGCAAGCGCAGTGTTATCTTCCAACTGTAGACAAAGGTTTGACAGCGGTTACATTCATAAAGAACGACGGTGTTTTGCAGGTGATGAACGTCTTCGCCAGTTCTTGCATTTCCTTATTAAGTGCAACGTATACGACACTGTTGCATGCGCCTATAACATATATCATTTACTTCAACAATACAGTTTCGCTACCCGAAAACCACACACAATTTACCAGCGCAGAGCAATCCAACAATATAGAATGGACCAGCGGTGATTAAAACAGGGAAGCCTATCGCTTTAGCTAGACCGGCACCTACGCTTGGAAGAATAACGGCTACCAAAGACGTAAGGAGGATTCCAACGCTGCGACGATTGGCCTAAATTTTACAAATCATTGGCAGTACAATTCAAATAACGGTAATACCTGCTTGAATCTGTTTTCTCTCGACTTCGCAACTCTAAGTGGCTGTGGTCTTTGGCCAAGAGCACGCAGTTTCATCAGAATAAAGATCATCAAAACAATTACCACCATGCCCATAACCTAAAATTGTACATTTAACAGATATATAGACGGCTTTAAAAAACAAGTTCACCATATTGCTGATTCCCCAATAGTAGCGGAAAGTTTCACTCAGAAAACATCCGATAGCCACACAGTTGAGAGCACTGTTGAAAGGTGTCAGTGAAAATTCCAAGATAACGTCCAGTACTGCTAACAAAATCCCACACAACAAGCTGAACACTGCATACGAGCGCGTGGACAGGCTGCGGAATACGACTGGGAAGTACAGAGCCTGAAAATTCTTATTGTTGGTGGGAAAGTGTTGTTTGAGAAGTATCATACCAAAGTTCTCTCCGCAGCAATCGATGTTGTTAAGGTGAGGTTAATCTTCAGTTGAATAATCATAGGAAGAGTGGAGATGATTACAAAGTACGAATTTAGATTTAAATAGAATGGATCCCATGATATCATGAGATAAATGGTATACGGAAGCGCTGAAATCCAAAGCTGAATGTGTATCAGCGTTTCTTCAGAACTTCAAATATCAAACAAACCAACTTACTTGCAACGGCGTGAACGAAATCAGTAATCGTAAGAAGTACCACCAGTTGTCGAGAGGAATTTTGGCGAGGGCTCTTCTCTCTTAAAGGAAAGGAAATGTCATATTTAGACATTTCTACTTCCAGGAAGACAGCTTCAAGAATAAAACGACACAAATGTCACGGATGCTCCCCTGTCATGCTTACCTGGTAAATAAGAAAAGAATAAATCCATTGCAAATGATGACAGTGAGCTGAAGCAATACAAGTATGATGTCTACTATCAGATAATAAAGGTTGTGTGCCATCCCAATTCAACGGCTTCAAGGTTCTGAAGTTATCGAATACATATGCCTGGTTCTTTTTAACGCAACGTGATGAAAATTAATATTTGTTTGCAAGGCCCTAAAAGGTATACGAAGAATGCTCGAAAATGCCACCTTTTGACCTTTCAACAAAGGATCTAGATTAAGCTAAACGTGCTTTACGAATAATCTGTTTGATGTTTGAGAGTCGGAAATATGGGTTGGGTAAGGAGAATATGTACTGTAAGCAACTTCGTGTTTCCATGGCATAAATCCACTCCAAATGGCATTCAGAAGGTTGTTGACAACTGAAATCGTGAAATTGGCTCATTTATCGAAGAACATCACACCACGTCATTCAGGAAAACCATAAAGAGCTACTGCGATATGCAAAACGTCTATTAAGAACTGATCACGGAAAACCTAAAGAGCATCAAAACTACACAGATCTTCTGAAATGTCACAGGTGATATAGTGGGAAATAAAAAAAAATAACATAAAAAAAATAAATTAAAAAAATGAAGTGTGCAGGTGAGTGTGGTGGTGAGCGGTGAGTGTGCAGAGCTATGCTAAATGTGATTGAAATCTTGGTTTAGCGTTTTCTCTGTTTGGTTATGGAGGTCTTTGGCCGAGTGGATTGCTGTCAAGTTGACCCTTCCAGGCTCTGAGGAAGGCGAAATCCGCCGAAACGTCAGCTTGTGCGTAAATAAAGAAATAAAATAGCACCTCGTGTTTGCTGAACAGAAGTAGAAAGATATATTCAATCAATGCCGAGGTTAATAGAAAGTCGGACTTGGGAGTGTCACAGGTGATTTGAATGAAGAAATTCGCTGTCGAATTATAGTTCTTAGAGAAAGAATAATTGAAGGAATCTGTTTCTATGAAAAACAGTCAGCAGTTGACAGCGCTGAGTAATTACTAGTAGTCATTAGTGCTCATACGCAATTAATCACCCGCATAATAAGCGCCTTATCCTTCTAGCAAGAAAAATCCAACGCGACAACAAAATTGAGATAGGCTACCCCTTTTTGGATCGAGATAACCTGGACTAAAAAGGTAGAATACAGCGTTCCTCCTAAGTTCAATACAAAATTTCCAAGGTAACACTGGGACTAAAAAAAGAGCTTTCCAAATCCTTCACCTGCTAAGCGTTTCACTTGTGATCCACTTAATAAATGAGTGAATCTAAAAAGCGTTTGACACCAAGCGTCGTTTCTTTATTTAATCGCTCCAAGTATTATAGAGAGTGTGCGATTATTAAAAATTTTCCTTCTTATTATTGCCAAGGAGAATAGAAAAGTAGTGGTTGGCTAAATAGAATAGTGCGTAGTACAGTGCTCAGAGGCGCGCTGTAGAGCTGCATTCACACACACTCATCCGTTCGATCTCGTGCTCTTGTAATCAACTTCTCCATCGCTCCACAGTGGGCAAGTTTAGAGTAAACTTTTCAGATATTACATAGACAAACTTGATATAAAGCTGCACATTTAGAACAAAAACCAACAATGCCAGTTTGCCCTGTAACTAGGCTCTTCATTTAAATAAAATGAAATATTAAACGCCTTCCAACGTTTTACCGCCTCATCGTGGCTCGGAGGTGTTCCTGGGTGGCTGCGATGTACAGTGGGGCGTTCAACTTAAGAGTAAACCAATGTCAGGACCCATTACCCTCCTGGTAGCAAGGTCGCATGGTGGGAAATCTCCCTGTGATCCACAAGGGCCGCGGCTGCCTGTGGTGGCTGACCTCTGGACACCAGGGAACTACATTGGCTTAACCAGCAAATCTCCGAAAGGTGTAGATTGTGCTGAGCCCGCACAACCAGTGAAGACGGGATATTCAAGTGTTCAAGTAAGTAAATATTAAACGAGTCCCACTAGTAACAGCAAGGCTCTGAGAAAGGCGAAATCGCCGAAACGTCAGCCACTGACCAACAACACCAACACTAACGACAACCACAACAACAACAACAACAACGAAGACCTATACCAACCAGGCATCAGCTCAAAAAGAACGGTTTACAAGGTCGTACAAATAAAATTAAACAGGTATAGTGAACAGAACTAAATCAGATTAAGCATCTACTGCTTGTATGAAATATATGAAAGCAAGCAAGTTAGTTATAGTTTCAGTCAATAAGTTAATTACAGCCATTAGTTATGATTCAAATGACAAGAAATCAAAGAATGATTAGGCAGAGCGAAAACAAATTTTATAGAAATTGTTAAAAGGCCGTGTTTTTTTAACTTCTCTTCAATTATCAGCATAGCAAGCCTACGATTCTGTCACAATGAGCAAATCATAGGGTGAGGATAGGGTAGAGATTGTCAATCACTTCGATACGTCTTAACCAAAAGCGGGAAGAATATGGAGTTTCGTTTAAGCTTAGTGGAGAGAGGCCTTTCTTTTATTAGTTCGACCTGCGGCCATAGCGAATTCAGAATTTCATAAACACCACATTTCCGTATTAATACACGTTTGACTTAGAATCTAAATGAAGTGAACCTAGCTTACATGTCACAATCACAATTGCACACGAACGAAGTCACCATGTAGGACAGAATACGGAGAAATAGTCTGCCACTAGCAAGTAGGCCTATTTGTATACTTGGGCAGGTGGGCAGCCTTCCATCAAGATGCGATGTTCAGCACAGTCTCAAATTGTTTCTTCGATTTATGATCACCGCTCGTGGGACCAGTTTGGTTCAAGTATGGTAATATGTGCTCATATCCTACCGCAATCTGCAAAAAATCTTCAGCGATTTTGCTTCTTGAAAAAAACGGACAAAAACTAAAAGCTTGATTATCCATTGCTTAGCCAAATGGCACTTAGTACTAATCCGTATGTTGCAGGATGCATACCCGCCGAAGAAGCAAATAGTTTCGGTTGGCAATAGATCAAGGTCCGCTGTGCATTCTGAGGAACTGCTCAGTAAGGTGAGGCCATTTTCCCACGGATAGTCATGTAGTCACAGAAAGGCAGCGCGGGTGATCCTAATTCATTTGCTAAGTGCTTCACCATGCTGGATTTGGGTTGATGCGACAGCTACAGAGACTGAAACCGCAATACGGAAGCAATTGCTGTAAGCACAGGACAAGAATCACTGCCGCTCTGATGAAAATCGCGATGCCGAAACTTTAATAACAATAGAGGTTAACAAGAAGCTCGTGCAAGCTTGTCTATAAACCGAAGCATTTCACTTCCCTTTTTCTTTTAAAAATTGTGCGCATAGGCTTCATCTTATACACGCTTTATTTTAACCCAAGTAATTACCCAGGTCACTTCGGGAATAATGACTTCCTAATTTTCAAACCGACCGTCGTTTAACCTAGGTAGTGAAACAATCAACATGTTTTTAAATTTTTGAGATTACGCGAGGTTGATGAATGTAATTATTTTCCCTAACATTTCGACGATGTGATCCGACGGTCATTATCAGAGCCAATGATCCATGTCGGTGGTCCACAGTTGCTCGTTATCTCGATGTGGTGTCTTCGTAATCGCATCGAGACGGCTCTTCTTGTAAGTAAAGCACCGTACGAATGAGAAATGATCATCCGGCAGTGCTCTTTTACACAGGACGGTTGTTGTTGGCACGACCACACGTTAATAATAGTTTGTTTTCAACGGATAATCCACCCTGTAGCAGTCGGTATAATGTTAGCTAGTAAAACAATTTGCTAATCGCTGTGTACTAACTAACATTATTATCGACTGCTGAAGGGTGGATTATTCGTTGAGGAAAAAAATAAGACTTTCTAGTTAGTATTTCTGGGTGAATAGCAAACATGAATGAATGGAAGAAAGTTACACTTCTCAGCGAATAAGCGTTCATTTCCCATTCGTTAGCATTGATAAAGCGTAAGTGTACCAAATTTTTGCCTTTCTCACTACTCATTGATAAGCACATCAAACAATGAAGGACCGCTGGCCGGTTTAACATCAAAGGTGTATGGCTCGACTTCTGATAACAGATATGCGGTACTTAGTGAAGAAAAGCGATATAATACTACACAAAATTATCTATAAGACCAAGGTTCGTAAACCGATCTCGCGTCTCAGCTGCGCTTGAAAGATTTTTTCGCGGGGAGCAAAAGTGAAGTGACACAAAAATTTTGAAATTCCTCCATCGCTACGAACGGATGGCTGTTTGTTGACATCGATAAATTAGAGGTAGGAGATGCCTCTCTTTCCCACTGCCGTCAGCAATTACTGTTGGCAAAACAGTTCCAGCAACGACGCACATTTTACACTCCTTGATGGATGATTATTCGTGAAGCCGGTTCGACCCAGATAGAAGTAAAGTTCATTGATGGATATCCAGATGGTTACTCGAGAAGCTAGTTAGTGCAACGCTACGTGGGAGGTAGGTGGCCAGGCGAGGAAACTTTACAACCACTTTCCGTAAGAAGCAAATTGTTTCCAACAAGTTGAGGGGCAGATAGCACAGTCGTAGTGATGTCCGTCATCACAAGCATAGTGCTAGTTCGATTACACTGGCGGGCCAACTAAACCTCTCATCCTTCCGAGGTCGGGAGAATGGTATCGGATTTGTCTGGGAAAAAATCACTGTCTGCAATCCAACTGGGAATGCCCGAGCCCGGTTATCCCAGGACTCCAGGGAGAATTGCTCGGCCATCATTCTACGACTTTTAAGA